CAAGCTGCACTAATCTCATTAGGCAAAAACAAGGCTCCAGGGATTGATGGAATGCCAATCAAAATGTTTCAATAAGTTGATGAAATGCTCGAAGCACTCACTCAGCTATACCAAGAATTTTGGAAAATGAACTGACTGGAAGAAATCAATATTTATGCCCATTTCAAAGAAAGGTGACCCAACAGAATATTCATATTACAGAACACCAAGTAAATTCATATCCAAGTAAAATTTTGTTGAAGATCATCCAAAAATGGTGATGGCAGTATATTGACAGAGAATTGCCAGTTCAGGCCTGATTCAGAAGAGGACATGGAACAAAGGATATCAAATGGATCTTGGCTCAAAGCAGAGAACACCAGAAAGATGCTTTCTGGAAAGCCAAGGCATTCGACTGCATGTATCATAAAACAAAAAACTATGGATAGAAAAATGGAATCCTAGAATACTTAATTGTGTTGATGTAGAGCCTGAACTTGGATCAAGAGGGAGTTGTGCAAATAGAATGAGGGAATACTCCAGTGTTTAAAATCAGGAAATGGGTGCGTCAGGGTTATATTCGCTTACCATACTTAGTCAATCTCTGCACTGAGAAAATAATGAGAGAAGCTAGATTATATGAAGAAGAGTTCAGTATCAGAATTGGAGGAAGGCTTATTAACAACTAGTGATACCTAGATGACACAACCTCGCTTGCTGAAAATGAGGAGGGCTTGAAGCCCTTGCTGATGAAGATCAAGGATCTCAGCTTTCAGTAGGGATTTTGACTCAATGTCAAGAAAACCATAATCCTCACAACTGGAGCAATAGGTAGCATCATGATAAATGGAGAAAAGGTTGGAGTTGTCAAGGATCTTGCTTGCTTAGTTTTGCTTGAATTGATTGCTATACAATCAATTCTTGAGGAAACAACACTCAAGAGATCCAACGATGTATTGCACTGGGTAAATCGGCTGCACAAGACTCTTTAGAGTGTTGAAGAACTGGGAGGTTGCTTTGAGGAACAAGGTGTGCCTGATCCAAGCCATGGTATTTCCCATATCCTCATATGCACATGAAAGTTGGACACTGAATAAGGAAGAC